ATCATAATGCTGGGGAGGCAGAGGCAGGAGGATCTCTGTGAGTTCGAGGCCAGCCTGATCTACACAGCAAGTTCCACGATAGTCAGGGCTACTCAGAGAAACTCTGTCTCGAAAAAAAAAAAAAGAAAGAATAAAAATAAAGAAAGTGGAGCACGAGGAGAGATGTGGGTGGGACGTGAGCGGTGGATGGAGTGAGTCTGTGGGTAAGGCTGTGGAGAGTTGTGAGGCTCTAAGGAGTGTGGGCAGGAGAAATCAAAGGGTGGAGGGAGTGGAGGTGAGTGGAAGTGAGGCTGGGGAATGGCTCAAGGTGGAGGTAGTAGGATGTGCCTTTAGTCTCAGCACTTGGTATCCCAGCAGTGGACCTCTGAGTTCAAGGCTAGCCTGGTCTACATAATTCCACGGCAGTCAATGCTATATAGAGTCCTGCCAGTGCTGTATAAATCAACCTAACAAGCAAGGTGAAGTCTGACAGAACCAAAGTTAGTATGAAGTGAGAGAGTTCAGGACATGGGGTGGAGTGGAAGTTAATAGGCCTGCCTTCTACATTTTCATTAGGTGGCTGGTCACACACTGGGCCCTTGGCTTGAGTCCCAGCAGTTTCGGGAATTTGCAACATTGAGCTAGTCTGGGATAGGGAGCAGCGGCGGTCCCTGAAGCAAGCAAGGCGGTAGACTTTGGTCTTGTCTGCATTTCTGAGCTCATAGAAAGCTTGTCCTCCTTGTCCAGATCTGCCGATTTATCCAGCAGCTCAAAGGTCGAGTGGTTCGTGAGGCCATTCGGAAGGTGCACCCAGGTGGCACAGAAGGTCTAAGGCGTCAAGAAGCAAAGCTCCCAGCCCCCATAGAGGTAAGGCAGGAGAGTAAGGTGCCGGCTGCCTAAGGCTGGCCCTTGAAGAAGGGAGGATAACCTGGTGAGAGGGATTCCAGGAAGGGCAAAACTTGGGAGGTTCCTGGGGCGGGTTTCTAGACTGACCATGTACCTACCGGCTTCACCCAGGTATGGATGGATCTTGCTGAGAAACTGACAGGCCCACTGGAGGGACCCCTGACTGCAGCTTTCTCCCAGGTACACCCACTGACCCTCAACAGGTCAAGGGTATTTATTCCAGGACACAGGGGTGAGTATGGCCCAGTGGGTTTAGTCAGGCAATGGTATTGTATAGAATCTCCAAATTTGAAGGAACAGAGAATCACCAAATGAGATCCAGGCCTTTCCTGCCAATACCCAAAAAGAAAAGTAGGGGGAAATGCAGATGAGGGTCCTGGGCCTTTCCTGCTGCCGAGCCAATGACTCCAGCAAGGCACCGACGTCTAAGGCCATCTTTTGTATGTGTCACCTTCAGAATGGCAAGGAGGATTTAGTGAGTGGGTAGAGCTAGCGGACTTATTCTAGGCCTAGCTGGGCAGTGGAAGGTGACAGACTTCCTCCTTCACTGTTAGGTGCTCACCATTGCTGCTGCAGAACCCATCAGCCTCCTGCACTCCAAGCCAGGCAAGCCCACGAAGGCCTGTGGAAAGCCACTGCTGTTCTTGAGTACCCAAGGAGGGCAGAGGGATCCTGGCCTTGAAGCCGGGCCTGCCCTTACTACTGCTGACTCCACTCCCAAGGCTTCTGTCCCTGTCCCTAAGCCCTCTGACCCCAACCCTGTCACCTTGGGCCTTGCCTCTGAGGTCACGGTCTCAGATACCCCAACCAAGTCCCTGGCTGGCCCATCCACAGAGAAAGACTTGGCTGTGGACTTCGAGAAGATCTACAAATATCTGTCCTTCTCCTCCAGAAATGGCCATGGCCCTGAACTCTCAGCAGCTGGTAAGAGGAGTTGAGGAGGAGAGGGGCTCTAGTTGGGGATGGTTGGGGTACAGGGTCAAACTTTGTTCCTTCATTCTTTCCCTTTCCTTCTATCAGAGTCAGCAGTGGTCCTTGACCTGCTCATGTCACTTCCAGAGGAGCTGTCCCACCTGCCTTGTACAGCCTTGGTGGAACATATGACGAAAACGTATGCTCAGCTGATGGCCCCCCAGACTTCTCTCCCTGCTGGGAAGAGCCCCAGGCCTGGGAGTGAAGACAGAGGGACTGGCTCCAAGGGGCCAGAGGAACCTGACCAAACCAGTCCTCAAGCCTCTGAGAGCACAGAACAGATGCCTGCCTGGCAAACAGTTGGGATCTGCCCATTGAACCCATTCCTGGTACCCCTAGAGCTATTGGGCCAGGTGCCCACCCCTGCGAGGTGAGAAATACAGAAGACCACATGTGCTGACTTCTGCCTGGGACTTCAGTCCAACACCATGGTACCGGGTAGCCAGGAGGATGATTGTGGAAGTCCCTGACATGGTGTCCAGCCACAGGCTACATGCTGCATACAGCAGCAACCTCAGAAAGGGAAGTACAGCTGTAATGAGTGGAGATAGAGAACTCTACACATACAGGTAGAATTCCTGGGCACACAGATGGGGCTGGCTTCCCTTGCCCAGCTGTGCCTTGTTCTCTGCAGTGGGTATAACAGCATCATCTGTTTTATGTATCTGCCCTCCTCAATCTGGGCTTGCATTTAGATCCCCCACTTCAACTGACCACTATACACTTCTCTCCACCCTTTTCTGGGGTGTCCTATAACTCTCAATAAAGCTATCATCTAAGTAGCTAACTATGCTCTTTTCCTTGTGACAAAGATGGGAGTGGGGGCTCTGAAATGACAGTTTGGGAGCTGGAGCAAGACACCAGGGAAGAGGATGCTATCCCTAGCAAAAGCTGGAGCCTGGGCTGGTGAGATAGCTCCAAGGATTAAGTGCTGACAGCCTGAGATTAATTCCCTGAACTCATGTAAACGTGAAGAAAACAATTCCTCAAAGTTGTCTGAATGCACACTACAGCCTGTACACTCATTGTACACATAAATACACAGTCATTTAGGAGCTCCTTGATGACTGTGGAGGTGGCTCTTTGACAAATGGGTGGAGGAGGGAAGCCCAGCTGGTCTCATGTGGGATAGGTGTTAGGGACAAGATTTCAGAGCAAAGCAATATTCCAGGGAGGGAAGAGAGGTGGATTTCTATGGGCGACTTGCAGGGGGTGGAGGAGGAAAGGAATGTCCCTTCAAGTGGCCTTGGAGCCTCAACTCCCCTTAGAAATAAATGGAGGAGGGAGGCAGAACTGGAGGAGCTTTAGGATGGTGTGGGTTACAGAGCTGGGGGAGTGGGTCATCGTTGAACCCCAAGACCCCACACTTCTCTTTATGCTGTTGGGCTTCCCACCATAAGTTCCAACTGCCCTGTGAGTATGGAATACAGGACAGGCCTGGGGAGCTAGGCCCCTGCTGGGGGAACTAGGTGCCCTCCCATGGTAGCACCCTCCCCCACGCCTAACGAGTTGTCTCAGAGTGAGTAAAATTTCTGTTCCCTGAGCCGTGCCTTCGCATGGCTTTCCTTTTATAGAAAGGCTCAATTCTCCCCACACACATTGCACACGGCT